TGAATTAGACATCGTGACTGATGAATAATTGGACACTCACTTSTTTGGCTTGACAGATAGTTTACCTTAACTGACTGAATAAATCATTGGCTAGAGTATTTCACAACTATAACCACAATAAATATTTTTCTCTTCTGTGTCAAAGGAAGAAAAAAAAAGTTATTGTGAATGACGAGCTGCCAACCTGCATCCTATGTGGGCTGGTCACTATGAAAACCGGTGTGAAGGGATTCWCAGAGACCTCTGCCATCTTTGAAGATGGGACAGTGGAAGCCAACATTGATACTGTGATCTTCACTACAGGATATATATTTTCTTTTCCCTTTCTTGAAGAACCTCTCCAAAGCCTTTGTAGAAAGAAGATATTCCTACATAAGTGGGTCTTTCCCTCAAGCCTGGAGAGAGCAACATTAGCCRTCATTGGCCTTATCAGCCTTAACGGGTCCATCTTATCAGGCACAGAGCTCCAAGCACGGTGGGCCACAAGAGTGTTCAAAGGTACCCTGACTCTAATATTTAGAGTCCTGTATGATCAGCCAAAATCATCTCCCTGCCGTTTAGCTAAAATCAAACAGATCTGAGCCAAAGTGATATAAATATTATAAAAAATTAAATGAGCAATTAATCATACATATGTATAGTGGTATAATGAGTGTGTATGTCACTCCATCTGACTSAGCAGAGGAGATTCTGACTCTGTAGATGGGATAAATTTGAACAGAATGTAATCAAATTTCTCAGATGAACTGAACTTTTTGGAAGCTTCAAGAGCCTGTTCTATTCTAGTCCAGTCTGTTTACTCCCAAGTCTTTCCATTTATTACTAGAAGTAGAATTTTAGATCACTTTAAAAGGTACTGGAGTAACGCATGCTGTGGATAAAACTGAGGTATGAAGAGACAGCGACCTTTTAAGTGCTCGTAGCAATACGGTAGGCCCTGGGCACTCCTTTGGGCAGATCCCACAAGGGACCAGTGCAGGAGCCAGGGCTGGTGGGTCCAGAGCCACTGGGCAGAGACCCTGTGCACCTCAGCCCCTTTGTCTGCAAAGTAAGGATGGCAGACCCTCTTTCTCAGGACTTGTTAAAATTTACAACGTCTGCCAAGCCTCAAGTGGCACCCTTGACACAGGAGAGGCCTATTAAGTGACCACTGTTGCCGCTTCTTGCCATTCCCAGCATGCCTGCTACAGAGAGCAAGAATTAGACGAGTGAGCGTTCCAAAGAACTGCAGAGTGTGATCTTTAAATATAAACAGCATTCACGGTTGGACCAACCAGCTGTCCTTAGTGAATAAAAACATCCACCAATAATTTACAAATAGCATATAAGACAGTATTAAGTAGTGATGACTTCTAGCCCACTGTACAAATGCAATAGATATTAACCACACCTAAAAACCTGTGCCCTCAGCCAAGCATAGTGGTGTAAGCTCCTAATTCCAGCTACTCAGGAGGCTGAGGTAGGAAGATCATAAGTTCTGAGGCCAGCCTGGGCAACTTAGACCTTGTCTCAAAATATATATATWTTTCTTTAAAAAAGCTAGGAGACTGGGCCTAGACTGCATGCCTATAATCCCAGCAATTTGSGAGGCTGAAGCAGGAGGATAACAAGTTCAAAACCAGCCTCAGCAACTTAGCAAGGTGCTAAGCAACTTAGCAAGACCCCATCTCAAGATAAAAAATAAAAATGGCTGGGGTTGTGGCTCAGTGGTTAAGCAATCAATCCCTGGGGCAAAAATTAATTAATTAATTAATTAATTAAAAAGGCTAGGGGGGGGGTAGCTCAGTAGCAGAGCACTTGCCTGGCATGCACAAGGCTCTGGGTTCAACTCCCAGGACCACAAAAAAAGAAAAGACCTAAGTATTTGTAGCTGGCAAACATGCTATTCAAATGACAGAGAAAGTGTTTAGAAGATTTTCACCCTATTTACATTACAGGAAAAAAACCCCGCCCCCCTTCATTAAGTTACCACAAACTTGTATTTCTTTAAGAATAACGCAGTGCTTCACAGCTCTGTCCAGTTAAGTGAAAATCGTAGAGGACTTAAGTGCTGGTTTGGGAGGTTTTTTTATAGTGAGCTCCAAACTGCTCATTAGGATGATAGAGCCAACACCACCCTAGGAGTAGCTTCACGATCCCCAGACGGCTTCGGGGAGCCACCAAGTCTTGCTAGTTCTTCAGGATAACCTGTTCCTAGCAGGAAGTGCACCCGTGAGCTGAGTCAGACCTCTCGTGTGGACCCGGAAGCCCACACCTGGGGCTGGCCTGTGGTACCCAGCAGGGCAGGACTGGCCAGAGTGGGATGGTGAACAGGGAGAGCCCAGGGCAGGGGGGTTCACGTGAGAGCAGGCCTGGACACACCAGGAACCCAGAAGACCCAAAGGGGTTTCCGACGGGGCTGCGGGGAAATTGCAGAGGGGGGCCAGAGTCCACGCTGGGACGGCAAGAAACAGGCCAAGTGTGACACTGAGCACAAGGCCCCCGCACAGCTCAAGCAGGCACAGCCTCCGTGAGACCCCCGTGCTGCCAGCACCTGTCACTCCTGAGGATTCCCGTGTGCCAAAGCGGCGCTGTGAGGCGGGTGGTTGTAAGCGTTCCCATCAGAGCTGGTAAGAGCTCTAACACCCACCCAGGTGCCTGTGGAGGCGTATGTGTGAGCGAGAGGCCCGAGAGACCCTAAGAGCAGGTGCAGAGGGACGAGGGACCGGGCGGGCAGCTCCGCAGCAGGTGCTGCCGTCTGCTGGGTGGTGCAGGCTGAGGCTGGGCCAAGGTGCGCCCTGTCGCAGTCTGACAGTGTCCTGCGCCCTGCAGCCCCACTCAGCCCTGGCTGTCTCACGTCCTGAGGGCTGAGCCGTGGGAGATCGGAATGAGAGGGAGGAAACTTCAACAAAGGAAAAGCTTCAGTGTGTTTCTGATCTTTCTCACAGGWCTCTGTCAGATCCCTCCACCCCAGAAGCTGATGGCCGAGGTCACTAAAAAGGAGGAGCTCATTCAAAGGTAGGAAACAGGTTGCCACAGGGTGGACTTGCCAGTGGRTTCTGTTACAAAGGAAAGCCACAAGGATTCCCAGTTACTGTGAGAGCCACTCCCAGAGGCAGTACGGAGGAGGGACACACCTCTGCCACCAACTAGACTGTGGCCTCAGACAAGTCATGGGGGCGCCAGGTCTTCTCAGAGGGACCCAGTCCTGCCCTCACTTGGCCGCKGAAACCCACTGTGTGTCTCCTTCCGCTTCTCAGGCTGCGCTTTCTCTTCTTGYTGGTGTCCCCTCTGGCTCACTCCTAGGCCTCGCTGAGCCCACCCCTGGTCCTCAGCAGTACTCCACTCACTCCAGCAGGGCCTCATCCACCTTTAAACACCTCAGTCCTGTGGCTCCAGGTGTCYTTAACCAAGCCTTTCCTCCAGCTCCTCCGGGTAGCTCCCTGCACATCTATAAAGGTGCCTCAGATTTGATGTCTAAACGTGAACATTTTGGGGCTGGGGATGTGGCTCAAGCAGTAGCGCACTCGCCTGGCATGCACGGGGCGCTGGGTTCCATCCTCAGCACCACATACAAATAAAATACAGATGTTGTGTCCACCGAAAACTAAAAAATAAATGTTAAAAATATTCTCTCTCTCTCTCTCTCTTCAAAAAAAAAAAAAAAAAAAAGAAAGAAACTTTTTTTTTTTTTTGAGATGAGGCCTCACTGGGCTGCCAGGCTGCCTTGAACTCTGGACTGCAGGCATGAGCAACACGCCCAGCTTAAAAACAAACTCCTCAGGTCCTCTCCACCGCTCCGCCCTGGCAGTGCGCCCCTCTGACCCTGCTCCCCTCAGTGACACCCGCTCGTTCCGGCTGAGTGGCACTGCAGCAGTCCTCGTCTCCTTTGCTCTCACACCTGTGTCGGCAAATACTGTCGGCCTCGGCCTTCCAAAGGAATCCAGGACTCAGACACTTCTCWCGACCCTGCTGCTGCCACCTCAGACCAGGCCTTCGGGACACTTGTGCCCCTCCCCTGTCTCCCACTTTCTGCTCTGACTCAGCAACAAGCACAAGCCACACCTCGCTGCTTTCTGTTCAAACGCTGGGTTGCCTCCCTTTCCCCCCAGTCCCCGGGGCACCCTCAGTGCCCACCCTTCCCTGCCCCTGCTCCCCACACCTCAGCCAGGCCCAGCATCACCCTCCTGAGCCCTGGCAGTTGGTCCCCCTCTGCCTGAAGTTTCTCCCAGGCACCTGCATGGCTCACTGCTCAAATGTCACCCCGTGAGGGAAGTCTTCCTTGACCACATTGCACAAAGCTGCAACCCGGCCACCCCACTCCTCCCCCGCCCTGCTTGGGTCTCCCATACCACCCACGCTGCCTGCATATTCCATGTCCCTGGACTGAGCTGCTGATGGCCTGCGAGTCCCCACCAGAGGGCAAACTCTGACAGCAGGGCTCTGGCCTTGCTCCCTGCTGGCTGGTGCCTGGAATGTCCGACTCATGGACGGACTGACTGACATGGACCTCATGAAGGTTTAACAGCAGACACGGACGAAGGCTTCCCGTAGCTAGGCCCCTCTCCGTGTCTAGCTCCGTTCTGGTGCCCCAAGCTGTGGCCCCTCAGCTCGCAATCACGTGAATAAAAATGTAGGTGCCCATGGACGCGAAGCCTTCCGGCCCTCCCCACCCATAACCACGGCTGCGTTTGGACCATCACACTTTACCCTCTTGCCAAACGCCAGGAACAAAAGCGCCTCCTCCGAGGGCCTCCTCTCGCCTCCTCCTTCCACAGGCGAATCGTCCTCTGAAGGCAATTCCTTTAGCCTTTTCTGTCCGACATGGAAACACATCTCCAAGACATGGTTTGATTCCGAGGCAGAAGTGACACCCAGGAGGAGGGTGGGCTCTGTAACCCGGGAACGCGGGGCAGGGAGGATCGCCAAACCCACGCTCCCTTCTCCCCACAGGGGCGTGATCTCGGACGACAGTCAGGACAAGCTCGACTACATCCTCTACCTGGATGAGCTTGCCGCGTGCATCGGCGCCAAGCCCAGCCTCCCACTGCTGCTCCTCAGGGATCCCAGACTAGCCTGGGAAGTCTTCTTTGGACCCTGTACCCCTTACCAATACCGCCTGGTGGGCCCCGGAAGATGGGAAGGAGCCAGAAATGCCATCCTGACCCAGTGGGACAGGACCCTGAAGCCTCTCAAAACCCGAGTCCCTCCCGACACCCCCAAGCCTGCCTCCACGTCACACTGCTTGAGAGCTTGGGGTGGCCYTGTGCTGCTGGCCTCTCTCCTACTTATCTACAAGTCTTCCCTTTCCAAGTGGATGCAGGACAGACTCTCCCCTCAGCTAGGGCTGAGCTTTGGGTGTGCCCCCTGGAGTTCATGGGCTGGCAGACTGGCTCCAGCGTGGCAGCACTGAGAGGTGGGGACTAGGGGAGGGACTGGGGTCATGCAGACTCTACCTACCGTCATAAACGGATCAATGCCACTCACAGAACTGGATTAGTTTCCATGAGGTTGTTATAAAGTGAGGCTGCCCCTTGTTTTCTCTCCTTCTAAGGCACCTGCTTGAGAAGCAAACCTCCCACCTTTCAACATGCTATGAAAACACAGTTTCACCAGAAGTTCCCCTAGGCCCTTGGATGTCCCAGCCTCCAGAACTGTGAGCCAAAGAAACTTATTTTCTTTATAAATTACTAATCTCAGGCCTTCTGTTACAGCCATGGAAAAATGGACTAATACACCTAGTGTTTGGTGAGGACGAAGCTGATTGGTTTCAAGGATCAAACCATGCCATGATGATCCTATCTTCAAGTATCTTGTGTATCCCTTCTATCCTTCCTCCGTACCGTCTACAATCCAAGTTCAGGTCTAGTCATCTCTTAGCAGAATTATTATATTGTGTATCACTCTTTGGTCTCAGTACCCTCTCTCTCTTTCCAGTGCACATGCTATCCTAAAATAACAGTGTGATCATCATTGCCAAACATAAAAGTATGAGCATTCTTGCCTAAAATTAAAATGATCATCATTCATATCAGGGTCCTGAAAGGAATAAGATGATGATACTCAAATTGAATAATTTGTGGAAATTTAATATAGAGATTAATCAAAAAGATGTGAGCATTGCTGGGAAATTGTAGGGGTCGTAACATGCCCTCAGACCACAGTGAGGTGGCTGACTATCCCTAGACCACAGCAGGCCAGAAGGAGAGGAATTACTAATGAAAGCAGGAAGGAGCTTTGCACAACAAGAGCCACGGCTTTCAGCTGCACGAGGAAGGCAGGCCTGAGGGCCCCCAGAGTGGGAAGCTGAGGGGCAGACGGTCTGTTCTCTCTTCCTTCCCTCGTTCACCTCCAAAGCCAACCAAGAGTCTGAGGCGGGGTGCCAGCTGTKGTCCAGGAGTCGGCCTCCTGGGTCGGTCACCCTGCTCTGTGCAGCTGAGACGACTGGTCAAGGTCACTCCCTGGAGAAGGAGACSTGGGTCATCACCTGAACTCTGGTGTCAGCCATGAGGCCCTGGCCAAGGAGCCTTTCCAAGCCTCAGTGCCCTCACCTGGAAAGGGAGGGTAATAATGGCACCGAGTGCAGGGTGAGCAGTGAGAGAGACGGTGCAGGGCATCCATGCAGAACTGAAAGACATTTTGTATTCTCTGCCTTAAGGGGCTATTGTGTAATCAGGAGGCTTGGCCTGTACAGCTCAGTCTCTCTTTTGACCTTGTGTCCCCTCCACCCTCAGATGGACTCTCCTGAAGGCAGCAGGTAAACAGTAGCAAAGGAGGGTTAGAAATCGCCATCCTGAAACGACCAGTGAAGGTGTCCGGGTTTACCTGTGCTCCTCGGTGGACTTCAAACCCCACTAAGGCAGACCCACAGGAGCCACGTCCAGCTTAAGCTAACTGCACACCCGTTCTTGAGGGAGAGAGTGGAACTGAGGATGTCTCTTAGTTCATCAGAACTTAAACTTACAATGTGCTATTTTTTCAATGCAATAATTTTTAAATAATGAGTCAAACACTTAGAGAAGTAATTTACTCTGGTTTTCACAGAAAGGAGGAGACAGAACAGGAATTTTAAACCAAATATATGCAACCCTGAAGCCACTAGCTGCCTTGGGAGGTAACTTCCCTATTGTCTCAAGCCCCTTCAATTGGTCAGTGAAGCCCAGACCTTTCCCACCTCTTCCTCCAGGAAGCCTGCGCCTGCCTGCCTGCRGGCTCCCTCCGCTGCACTGCCTTCCCACCCTGAACAGACTGGGAGCATTGGGCTTGGCAAGTCCATGACTCTAGTCCTCAAAGAACCCCCAATACCAGGAAAAGCCCATTGGGAGTTAACCCATTTTAAATGAGAATCAAATTTTCATAGTAAATACTAGGGGAAAATACTAGGTTTGATCAAGACTTCATTGAGAAATGAGATCAGAATTTTGAAAATAAGTTTGCTTGGTCTTTTTAAATGTCTTTTGCTAATATATTAACTTTTTAAATTTTTTTCTAATCAGTCATACATGACAGCAGAATGCATTTGTCTCATTGTACACAGAGCACAACTTTTCATTTCTCTGGTTGTACACAATGTAGGGTCGCACCATTTGTGCAATCATACACGTACATAGGGTAATGATGTCCTTCTAATTCTTTCCTACCCACACACCCTCTCCCCATCCCTCCCCTTTGCCCAATCCAAAATTCCTCCATTCTTTCCATGCCCCTCCCCCATTATGGGTCAGCATTTTCTTATCAGAGAGAACAAGGCACACTCATACATTGCTGGTGGGACTGCAAATTGGTGCAACCACAGTGGAAAGCAGTACAGAGATTCCTTAGAAAACTTGGAATGGAACCACCATTTGACCCTGTTATCCCACTCCTCAGTCTACACCCAAAGGACTTAAAATCAGCATACTATAGTGACATAGCCACATCACAATTTATAGCAGCTCAATTCACAAAAGCTAAACCATGGAACCAACCTAGATGCCCTTCAATAGATGAATAGATAAAGAAACTGTGATATTGAGATATATTACTCAGCACTAAAAGAGAATAAAATCATGGCATTTTCAGGTAAATGGATGGAACTGGAGAATATCATTCTAAGTGAAGTAAATCAATCCTAAAAAAACAAAGGCCAAATGTTTTCTCTGATACGTGGATGCTTGGCCTTTCATTTAGCCAAATTTGGATTATAACTGGAACCATCTTCTAAAAGGAATTACCTAGTTGTGAGAATTTACATGACAGCTAGATAAAACACCTTTATGACTTCCTTTACTACATATTCAACTTTCAAAACTAGACTATAAKTTAGCAATATTTTAATATTCAAGGTTTTCGTTGATTTTGCCAAGGAACTAAAATTTCAATCCTCTCATATTTATACAAATCTCTTTTGAAACTCCTGTCATCACACATGCCAATCATCTCTAAGCCATTCTTGAAACGTCTTCCTGGTTTAATGCTGCTAGATCCAGAGTTGCCATGGCTTAGCAGTCCTCCAATATCACCTTCGGCAATTTTCTTTTGAAATCCTTATTTTGCAATATATGTAATTTCACTTTGTCAATGATTTGCATTAGAGTCTGCATGATCAGACAATCACCAGAGACTGACCACAAAGACACTGGCGTCCTGAAGAGGCTGTCCCGTAGAACAGACGTGTGGGTTTTAGAGAAAATGAATTTTAAGTGCTCMGTTAATTCATTCATTAACTCAACAAATATGCATYGAGCACTTACTGTGYTCCAAGCACTCTTCTAGACTGGGTAACCATGGTCAGTAAAGAGAAAGTCCTTGACGTCATGGAACACAGACTGCACTGTGACAGGCAGGGATGTGACCACTGCCGGGAAGACCAACCATGTAGCTTCAGAGAGGGTGGGGGAGCCAGCTGGGACGCTCACACAAAGCTTCCCTGAAGAGGTGACACCCCAGATGTTGCCAGTGGAAACTGGGTAGAGTGAGAGAGTGGCCCGGGGACAGTCTCACGGAAGGCGTTGTTTCTGTCAGCAATCAGTAAGTGGCCTTGGGGCAGGCGTGTTAGAACAATGGCCGCCAACCTTGTTCACACCATGATGCACACAGAAAATGAAGACAGTCTTTGTGAGCCACGCTAAGACAAGCTGATAAGATAAGGGGAAGGGAGATCGATGTGAGCACAGGGAAAATCATCTTTTCATATTGAAGTAAAATTGCTTAAGCCAAAAAATAGCGAAATATTAAATATAGAATTTATGATATACTTCCAAATAAAATTTCACAGGTTTTGGTTAAAACTTGAATTCATTTCTGGGGGTTTTCTATCATACTTGATATTCTACATTAATTTCTAAATAAGATTTTTAAACGATGATCTCTTTATGTGATTACAAGYTGGTATAAAAATAATGTAAAACCATTTCACAGCCATTCAAAAAAAATTGAAACCGTGAAATATTTTCTTTCATCAATAAATGTAACATTGAAAGTTTTTTGTGTTGTGAGAAGGGATCCAAGGCCCATCAAACTTGCAGAACAAGCAATTCAAAGTGAGATYAAGCTTTAATAGTGAGAGGCGCTCCCTTGGCTGGCGCACTCACCCTGAAGGCGCTGGCCCAAGAGGGCACAGAACTGTCTCCCGCGGGTGAGGACAGGAGCTCCAGGCTGTGTGCTGCGCCCACAGGAACCTTCCCTCACAGCCCCTGCCCCTGCCCCGCAACACCCCACCCACCATCGCCACCAGGCTCCCTCACACAGCCCGTCCAGCAAGGCCCCAGCTCCTGTGGACAGCGAACGTTCTGCAGGCCGGCCCAGGCGGACACCCAGGTGTTTCCCCACCTTTCTGACTTTTCGACCRAGCCCCTGGAGAAGCAGGGACTGCAGGACTCAACATGCCAGGCTTCTCCTGGGGCCACGGGAGCTCGGGGTGCTCCGGCTTCCCCACCCCACCTGCCAGCCCCAGGGCACAGGGTGGGAAGCTGCGTAAGAGAGGAGGAAGGCGGGGGAGTGGAGGGACCCGGTGAACCCTGYGAACAGCATCAGTGAACAGGCTGCCTGTGACAGCTTCAGAAATACAGGTTCTAGGGAGTCTCCTTGCGATCACTTCTTCACGTCTCTTCTTGGTAGTGCGCTCTAAACACAGACCGACAGCCAGTTCATAAAGCTGCCCACCACGCCACCTGCGTTTCTCCGGGCCAACAGGCTTCTGAACRTCTCCCTGATTCATTAAGTCCTGGGAACGGTGTCATGTCTAGAGCTGTGGTCAGGTCTTTGGGGCTCTCAGTAGTTCTGATGCCTGTGTCTCCGGGAATGAAGGATGCACGGTTAATTCTCCCAAATCCTTACATTCCAAAAGTCCTCCCTACCCAGTCGGTAAGACTACACAGGCTCTACAGAAGCTCCAAGAGACTTCCCCTGCAGTAGCCTGATGCCATTCTAGACTCCCCCTTTATCTGACAGACAGGTGCCAATTAGGGAGCAAGGACCCAAAGACTCCAACATTACAACTAGAAACTTGTCACTGAATTGTCCCTCTAACTCCCATCTCCTAGCTTTTCCTTTGGAATCATATTACTTATTACTATACCAGGAACATGCCCAATAAAGGGGCTGGGGGCATAGCTCAGTGGTAGAGTGAGCACTCAGCATGTGTAAGGCCCTGGGTTCTCTCACCAGCTTATATATGCACACAAAATATGCACAACAGAAGCATCCTTAAAAAACCAGAACCAAAACCCTCCCTTTCTACTCCATTACTCCACTTCTCTCTGTTGGGTTGCTGTTTGTCAGCTTCCTACCCCAAGAAGCCATCAACACACAGCAGCCAACAGCTGGACTCCCTCTTCTTTTGCTGGCTACCTTGCAAGCCCAGACTGGCCAGCAGTAAAAGCTGACACGTCCATATGCTCCATCACCTCTCATGCAGATAACTGCACACAGGCCTCCCAACTTCTATTCTTACCAGCCTCTACCCATTTATTCTCCAGGACACAATCATCTTTTCGGAGCACATTACACCCTTACTTAAAACCTTCCCACTGCACGTCCAACAACAGCCACGTTCATTACACAGCCTACAAAGTTCAGCCTCCTGGCCCCACGGCATGCCACTCCCCMCATAGCCATCCTTCGATTCCTTTGACATAGGTGGGTTCCTTTTCATTCTTCAGGGCTTGGCTTAACAGCCCCAGGGGGTCTTCTCTGATGAGAATCGTTAAGCAGAATCCTTCTCCACACTGTCCCCATGAGGGAGTCCTCACTGCATTTATTCGTTTCCTTCCTTCACACCCCAACATTAAGGAACTATCCCATGTCCCTTGTTAACTTAGTCATTTATTCCAGCCCCCTCCTTAATGGTAAGCCATATAATAACTTCTCTGTTTTATTCTTTTTTAATTTTTTAATTTGTTTTAATTAGTTACCCATGACAGTACAATGATCTTGACATGTCATATATTTGAATCAGATGGGATATAATTTCTCATTTTTCTGAGTGTACAGGTTGCAGAATCACATTGGTCATGCAGTCACGTATATACACACAGCAATAACAAATGTCTATTTTATTCTGCTGTCCTTCCTTCCTGGTTTGCTACCTAACAGTGTCAGGCACATAGAAACCCCTCAGTAAATATTTATCCAAGGAAGAACAAATGAATGAATAATGGATCATTTCTGAGACAAGGATATGACTAAGAGGTTCCACATACCTCCTACAATTGGCATTTTTACTGCACCCAAAAACACATGCTCTACAGAGGCTCCAAGAGACTTTCCCTGCAGTAGCCTGATGCCATTCTAGATTCCCCCTTTATCTGGCCTCCTGGTGGACTCCCTAATCAGAATAAATCCTTCCGAGGAGTCCATGATGGTTGTAACATGGTCCCGATGCACACTGGTCGCCACTTTAGCTGACTGACTTAATGAAGCATCCATTCTGCACAGGTGACAAAGATCCTGTAACTGACCACAGACAACGAAAATGGACCACAGTCCACCAAAAACAATGTTTGGTGTG